ATATTTCAGATGACGCCAGGTAAACCGATTTATGAATAAATCACTCAACTCTTTTTCAGATGTATGTATTTCCTCAAAAAATGCCATAAACTATGTATCGACTCCACCAGTATCCATCATGTAACGAACAAATTTTATTCATGGGATTCCTAGGTATAAAATTTTATCGCTGAATGTGCGTTCTGACTTTTCATGCTGAATGAAAAATGCTGAAATGTCTTCTGAAGCTATATACATTTCAGCCTAATTTTAAAAGCAACAATGGGTTTTTATTGTAATTTCTCTCCATACTTCTGTTTAAAATATTTCTAAACCTTTTAGCAGAAAATATTTTACATGACGTTTTTCACTCTTCTGTTGATAATCAAAGCACGAAAAAATAGTTTTATATAATAATACATAATATTTATTAGCTTAATCGTGTGATAGCTGACTTAAATATAACACTTTAATTTAAACATCGAAACTACCTACATCGTATCCTTACACAATGTTTATATTTAATAAACTTACTCTCGGAAGCTAAATAAATGAAATGGAGGAAATAAAATATTCCATTTTTAATTCCTGAATGAGAGCCTAACAATCGTTTTGTGGTATTTCCAATAATTATTTCTCGAACTTTCATGAAGAACCTATGCGAAGTCCATCTTCGTATAAACACTCCTCAGGAGCTATGCGAAGTTAGAACCAGATATGCCAACCAGATATTTAGAATTTCAAGAGCACTCTATTTATAACCTTAAAAAGAAGATAGAAGCTCGTTACCTTTCATTTGTTACGACTCTGCCTAAAATAAAGGCAGAATTTATGCAACTCTCTCACCATGATTTTTAATTCATCATTAAAGGTCAGTGATGGCAAAGAGAAAAACAATTGCTTATTTTTTGAAAGATGAATAATTTTAAACAAGTTAGAGATGGTAATAATTTCATCTTTTCTGTCAATATGAAGACTGATCAATTCTTTTTAACTTGTTAACTGTTGGTATTCTTAGAAGCAGTAAATATCCTTTTTACGTCAATCCAGTGCGAAGTTAAGCAATTTCACGAGAGCTTTCTGAAGTGTTTTTGACTTTCACCTAAGTAAATAATTCTTAAAAAAGTATCCTTTTAGAAGATTCGTTTGTTTGTCATCGTAGGAAAATGAAAACTACTTTTGTCGATCTGAATTGCGAAATTGGGTTGTTTTTTTTTCAATATGTTTTGTTTAATTTAATTTAAATTTTATTGAATTTATAACATGAAGTATTCCAAACTGTATCGCTATTCATTACCAAAATCATTGTTGCGTTGAAAGTGATGGTTATGTAACAGATCTAACTACATATATAGAGAACACGAAGTGTAAGTGCAGAATATGAATTTTAATGAATCTTTACCTAAAATATAACAAGATGATTGATGAACACATGTACGTCAACCTATGACTGTGAAAAACTGCGATAGATAAATATAAAGATGGCTTAGTATCATAATCTGTTACATTAACGTAGCAGCTTTAAGTCTCAACAAAATACTTAGTTAAGGTCCTGCTTCCCGTTATTCGATATAAAAAGATGGTTGATGAACACATTTATGTCAACCTGTGACTATGAAAAACGACTTTAGTTGGATAATTCTGCATTCACAGAGAAGCAAGCGGTAACTTTGACGATCATGATGACCCTCCAGCGTAAGGTCCGTCGGCAGGCACTTGACTACGGTTTGATAAGTTGCCACTTAGTTCTTTTCTTTTTCAGCGTTGCGAAAGGAAAATACAAATTTCCTAACAGTAATAAATTGCGGACTAGCGTGTTTAATTTGTCACCATTTCACTCACACTGTTCTCAAATCATGGGGAAGTAGGACCTTTACTAAGTACTTTCATGCCACTTAAAACTGTTAGGCAATATAACAGATTATGATACTGAGCCATCTTTATACTTGCTCAAAGCTAATATTTCCTGTGTCAGTTACAGGTTATATTTGCAAAACATATTAAACTGCATTTAGACATCAAGACTCGTTGCTATGCGATCTAATGAACTTTAGCATAACAGTTATTCTTAAACAGGAGTTTAACAGTTGCTAAAAACGGTTACACTTGCTGGTGGTATAATACCCATACCCAAATCAGAAGTGAATGATACAGAATACCATTTCAAAGCATCTTGGACCTGCACCTTCTTCATTACGTTCTTGTTTGACAAAATAATTTCCAAATTTTCTAAACAGTTTCAAAGTTTCTTTTATAAAATCTGCATTTAGAATTGTGTCATTTTCTTCATTATCAGTACACTCTGTGGGATTAGGAGTCTCAAAGGCAACCTCTAATGTTTCATCTTCATTTAGGATTTTGTTAATATCTACAAACGATAGATCGTAGATTCATTCTTCCGCCATTCGTACGTACCATTGTAATGATGCTGGTAAATTCAGTTGTGTTAGAGATCGTAACTTTTCACATTGTGGCATTTTCCAACATGAGCATAAAATTGCTAGTTTTAATTCAGTTAACGCTAATCTAACTTTATTGATACAATCTGTAACTGAGAATTTCTTCCACACGTTAATAGCTGTTAATGTTTCACCACTCAATTTGTTTAGAACATGTTGGAATGTTCATTTTATGTAGTATGTTTTAAATGTCACAATTATATTGTAGTCTAGCGTTTGTAACAAAGTATTTGGTTGCAAATATTAAATGTGTACATTTGAGTGTTGCAAAACAAAAGGGACAGGTGCATTGTCAAACATCAGAACTTTATATTCGAAACTTTTCACATTGATATAATGTCTGGCTTCTGGGACGAAACATTTGTAAAACCATTCTGTGAAGGCAGCAGTGGTCACCCAGGCCTTCTCCTTTTCTATCCACTTTTCACTGAACGTGCCTTTAGGGCTCGATTTACCTGAAGTGCTTTCTACATATGATCTTCTGGAACAATAGAGTAAAGTAATAAGGTCACACAACTCTCATCAACCTTAAACCTCCAGTATTATTCTTCGATTTGGATACGTACGTTCTATTCGGCCTTTGATTCGAAAAGAAACCCTTTAGGAAAGTACTCTCCATTTTCAATAATTTTAACAAATTCCTGAGGGAATACTACAACAGCCGATTAATTTGCAGATGCAGTTTCACATTTAATTTTTATATTATGAAGAGTGTGCCTTTTTAAAAAAGCTCTGTTAATCGAAACTGCTCTTGCACAAAATTCATACTTTCTGTTTAACTGCGATGAAGTGCTTAGCACTTTTTCTTTGATTTGTCTGTAAATTCTTAGTGCTTTTGCTGGTGGTATGTCTGCCTACTGGTACTCTTTTTTTATGACTTGTCTTCTATTCATATTACCACGGACATTTCGATTTTTCCTTGACTGTATATGAAGGTGTATAGATGAAGTATATATGAAGATGAGTTAACACTTACTTTCATTCCGCAGCATACCGACTTCGTAACTACTGCTTTATTTATTTAATAATTATTTCTTACAGTAGTTTCATGTACACTAAAATATTCCCCTGCAGATGTAGCAACGTGTTCATTTGCAAGGTAATCTAAACTACGAATTTTAATTTCCGAATAAAACTGTTTTCCTTTTCGGTTTGGTACTAGGCGACTTAAGAGATATTATGTAGAGGGTTGCCAAAAGATATATCAGTTGTTATTGATAAAAAGATGGAAAAATTTGTAAATTTAGAATTTATTCACTTTGGGAAAAATTAATAAATTTATATATGCATGATAGTACCAAAGAACCCGGGTTCGAATTTCGCAGAAAGCATGGCTGTAACTGTCCGTCTCTTCATAACAGGTAACGGTGGCTCACCTAAGATACTTCGACAATAAAGTGGCCTTTAATTACGAGGATATTATCCCAGACGTGAATCACCCAAATGTAACCCAAAGAAGGTTATCAGAGGAATTTAAAAAATCGGCAAAGAGATTTTATCAATGAAAGTAGTGGACAATTAATCAGTTCCTGACTAATTTAATTATGAATTAATAAGTAATTTCTCAAGCTGATAAAATAAATTTATTTCAATATCATTTCTTTTTAATAGCTTTATTCCGTAGCATGTATTCCGTAGCACACCTTTTGGAATGTGCTAGTTTCTCGTGACCTAACCTTGCGTAAAGAGTATTGTCCTCCGTTAATTCCTATATTATTCAGGGTTTAATAATTGCAATTGCATAACTTTATTAACTCCTTTGTGTTAATTAATTAATCATAAAAACTTAATTCTCAATTTCATTGGATTTTTTTGGCAAAAAATGCAGTGACTAGAAGCAAATTACATTGGATACGTAATTGCGATAGCTTTCATAGCCAGTAAGTCTTAATATCTGAATTAAAATTTTTTAAATATGGATATATGTGTTGAAAGGTAAGTATATAAATTTCTTTTGCAAATCAAGAAGCTTTTTAATCATAAAAACTTTAAATTTATTCTGATAAAAGTTTTTTTAATTAATTACTACATTATTAATTTTGAATTATATTACTTTTTAATTTATATTACATAATTTGAAATAAAGTTTGAGGTGGGTGGCTTCTTTACATCCTAAATGATTTTACTCATCATAAATTAGTTAAAATTAGAGAATAGTTTGTTTGTTCATTTATTTATTTATTTAAATTCAGATGAAAGGTTTGATTTGCATGATGGTGCTAAAATCAGGTGAGTAAAAGCATTAAAAAGAATGAACAGATTTCTTAAATTCTTTCTAAAATTCTGTTATCTTCACATAGTGAAAGGTAGGTCTTATCCATTGAGCATGGGTGCAAAAAGTGGAAACGAAAATAGTTATTTATATATCTCTGAGGAAAGCTGTAAAATTATTTGACAAGTTTATCATTTAAAGCTGAATTAAACGTTTTCCCTAGCAGAACATTTAGTGTTTTACTGTAAGAGTAAGAAAAGCAGCCTTAATTAATGTACTTAATAAAACTATTTTAATGTTAAGATAGCTTAAATTTAAGAATGCTGATTAGAAATTTTGTGCATTTGCAGAGAGAGTCTACAAAGGCAGTTTTGTAATTGTTGGGGGGGACAAGTACACATCTAGCCTGGCGGACACCCTTTCTGAGGATTTCCAGGAGAAAGCCGAGGCTTACAAAGAAAGGGTAAGTGTTCCTATTCTTTTATATTAAATACAAACAGTCATTGTTTGAAGCTAAGAATAAATTGCAGTTAGATATCTATTTAAGTAACTTCCCACAGCATGGTGACTTTAAGTTCCGCATCTTGATCACCAGCTTCCAAAACTTTGCATAAGTCACCTAAGTATTCTGTAGCCTTTATGAAGCCAAGAATGGGCACTCCCTGATCTTTACCTGTGGCATATCGATATACACGAAGATTTTTAACTGAACTCACAAAATTTTGAAATATGACTGGTCTACATCATTTCAAACAAAGATCCTTTACTGTTCTTATCGACAGAATGTGTCATCGTCGAGTGTTTGTTATTCAAATGGCAGCATCGAAGATTCCTATGCTGCACAGGGTTCATTTCGAAAACTTCCAGTAAAATTCCCTGTGATGGTGAACATTTGGGTCACCCCGTAAAAGTTTTGTCGTTGTCGTTGTTCTTTACAATGTTTGTATTCCAATATTTTTTCTGTAGATGATTCTGAACTATTTTTATGTTAAAGTTAGATATTAGCAAATTTTATTTTGATATCAATTGCTTCCTCAAAATAATGGCAAAGAGTAAGTAAATACTTTGAACTTTACTTGAAGATAAGAATTTGTGTGATTATCTAAAATAACCGATATTTCCAAGCGAAGCTAACGCATCAAAAACTTCTGGCCTCGCTCGAACTACCCTCGACCTTGACAACAAGTTCTCAATATAAATGCTCTTATTTCTGTCATCGCGGCTTATCGCGCTAGATTTCAAGTACCTAACGAAGCGTGAATAAAGTGGTGTTGAATACTTTAAATTTCTTTATTAATTACTAGATTAATTTATTCTCGGTGAATCCTTGCGTAATTGGTGTTGAATTGTTTTTGATGAGCGGAATGATTTCGTTCACTTCAAATACCAAGGATTTTTGAGTTAAATTTTCCACTTTCCAGTCTTTTAAAGCATTTCGTGTCATCCAAAAATATCTCAGATTATTTATTTATTATTATTGTTTAATATTAAAAAGTTTGTACCAGTTTCATGTATATCTTTTAATTCGACTGGCAGTTTTTAATATTTTTTTAATGCGTTTTATGTTAAAACAGTTTCCTTTTTCAATAAAAGCAATAATTTCGAAACATTTTATACTGAGTTAATTTGTTTTCTTAATTATAAATTATTCGATTTATCTCTAATTAAATCATTGTTATAACGTTTCTGTATATTTAAATTAATGATATAAATCTTTTTGAATATGCGTATATTTAGGCAATTTCTACTTCCCGTTAGTTTTATTTTGAGATAGTCCAGCAAATCGATCTTATTAATATTTATCGATATTTCATGGCATGCATTTGCGATAAGTTTGAACTGGTACTGCACTAATAAAAAATAATAGTTAATATTAAATAAAATAAAACAGCTACGTTACATACATAGTACAGTGGTGTCAAACTGGTAAATCCCCTAGCATTTTGTGGCCCGCTTTTCTCGTGTAAAGATAAGCACCCTCAGTTAGGATTCTTTACATTCTCAGTTCGATTGCAATGAGAAAACTCGCCTTGTTTTGGAATACGTTTATAGTATGTGAGCGGTTCTTTTCTGTAGACGAAAATTAATAACGCTAGAAAATTAGAAGCAGGCTGACAGATGAGCATGTATAATGCTAGATAATTTCTAGTAATTTTTCTCCAATGTTACAAACTTTATAAAAATTGAAACGCTGTTAATGTTAACGCATGAGATGGTGTAGCTGAAAGTTGCAGTAAGAAATAAAGAAATTTACAGCTATTTATATTAAAATATATTTTTCACTTTATTTTTTTTGTATGCGTCAAACCTTTTTTTAATAAATAAAAGAATGAGAATTGGCTGTCATTATTTATTCTCAAGCTTTGTTCCATTTGAAAAAAATTCGTAATTTGTTTTGTTTCTATTTTAAGTTAAAAAGTAACCTTATTTATTTTTTAATTAAAAGCATTAAAATTATTTGAAATTATTATCTCTCAAAATTTAATACTTAACTATCACTACGTTTGAATTACAAAATGCAACCAATATAAATTTCTTGCAGATACCTGCTTTTAGGTTTCAGACAGAAAATAAATATAAATTGGAATTTTTTATTTGCATTATTATTATTAATTTTATATATGTTTCGATAACTATTTAGTAAATCAAATTTTTAATTTAGATTAAAATTTTATCTTGGTTAAAAAAACTTTTCATTTTAGTTAAAAAGAAAATGGGCCTGTCAGCTGCTTTCAGATTGCGCATTCGGCCCGCATGCAATTTAAGTTTGAGATAACTGTCGCAGCAGACAGGCATAGAATTTTCTTTACTTGCTATGTACCCGAACACTTTAATGAAGGAAATTTTGCTTTACGAATTATATTTATTTTCACCACTTTCTGGTAATTTTGAATTTTAATTTTTAATATTGTACCTTCTGCGCTGTATTACTGTACTTTTAAACGAATGTTAAATCTGAATTTTGTGCTTTACGCTCCTAAATTTCATACGCAACATGTTTTATTATACGTACCCAACAGAGCAATCGTACACCTTGTAAAACTGAGAGATCAAACCAGCCAGTGAAGATAATGCTATTAAAATTTTATTTCATTACAAATAGCAATCATTTAATTTAAGTAATAACTCTTGCTCTAATTTTCTTGCAAAAACGGGAGGAAGTTGCGTATTACTCATTTTTAGATTGCTTTGGAATTTTCGCTTTGTTAGCTTAAAACTTAAATAATAATAAAAAAGGAAAACAAAAATGCATTAACACCTTAATGAATTCTACTACGTACACCTTTTAAACGAATGTTAAATCACGTGCGTAAATAAGTAAAAGACTCTCCATTATACAAACTACCTGAAGGCAGAAGATAATAGACAGTCCATTATATAAACTAATGAAATACAGAAGTTAAGAAACTATCCAGTATATAAATTAACTTATGACAGAAGCTAATTAATACTTTCTTTTTTTCAGTATTCAAGGGGGTGAATCAAAACTTTCTCCCATATGACTGAACTTTGTTATTTTTAAAATAGATCAATATTTTTTAAATTATGTTTTCTGTAAAAGAGAGAAAGAGAGTTAAGCAAAAATATTCTTTAACTACTTTTAATTTGAGCTCTTTCGAGTTTCGGAAATATCTTTTTTTTTCTCTTTTGCCATTATCCTTTAGAGATATTTTGAAAGGTATCATTGTTGATGCAAAAGCAGTTTCAAATAATTTGCATAAAAAAAGAATTCATTTGAATGATAAGAAAGGCATATTATATGAATAATCATCAAGCAAAACCTGAAGCATATCAAACAAAACAAATTATTCTGATCGAGGATAAAACAATCAAGCACTGTCGTGAGGATTAATGTCACTAAGGATTACTTCTCTGAGAGGGGGCTGTTGATTTGCAAGCTCTCTTGAGTCTTGGTGTGCTCCTTAATCCCTTCTACGTGAACGTTCCCTAATTTGGATTGGACAGAAAGCCTCAATCCCTGAATAATAAATGTTTACTCCGTATGCCAATGCGCACTATCGACGGATCAGTTAAGAGTATTAAACCAAATTTATGTGCCAATATCTTTGAACATGAGTGCAACTATTGACTCAGTCTTGATCTATGAACTGTGTCTGAAAGCATTGTTACTCATCATTATTGTCACCAGAACTGATCCAAAGCTAAAGTAGTTAATTTAATCTAATGGCACTTGCATAACTTTTGACAACTAAACAAGCGTTTTCTGAAGTATACCCTAAGTGCGACAATATTATAAGGTTCTTTTCTCTCAGGAAATTGAATTACCTCCAAAAGCTTCAATATTTACCACTTGATATAGCAGAACTTCCATATATACAAAATGTATTAGCTCGGTTTTAAGTGGTTTTACATACATAAGAGCTCATAAATTTTAAGGTGTTTTTAGGAAGAAATTGGAGTAGATGGTCTTACATGTACGAACTTGATATGCTGAATCCCTTTTCACAAGAAAGACATTTAAATTTGTCCGAATACTGCACTTTAATGTAACACTACGCAAATTTATTTTTGCTCATTGCAAAAGTTAAAGGATAAGTGAAAAACTTTCTTTATATATATTTTAAATGTTAAGCTGTGCGTACAGAAAGTTCCCTGTCTTGCCATATAGTATTTCAGATGCGCATTTTTAAGTGGGACGGATATTATTTTACGTTCGATTTAAACTATATAATACCTGATATTTTTAAGTTGTTAAAATGCATTTTGTCTAGTAAATTCAGATTATTTTTTCATTTGAAGTGAAAATAGGAAACCGATTAGAAGCCGAGTGGCCTAAAATTGCAACGTATTGGTAGCTTATAAATTTGTTGACAAAAATTAGTCGCCAAAATCGTCGCTAGCTTGACGATGTCTCGGCAATTTACCACGATAGCCATTTACTCAATGTTAGGCTTGCTCCTGTATTTTTACTTTTCCGGCAAAGCTTCGCTTCTTTAGATTTTCATGTTACATTATCCTAAGCAAACAAACAAATATATATATATATATATAAATGCTACAATTTCACTAAAGTTATTTAGATAGATATATACAAAATTCGTAACAGTAATGTAATTTTCGGAAGAAATCTTGAAAGGTCCTTTAAATAAAATATTTCAGATACATGATCACACTCATGTACACATATTTTTTTTTCCTTTTTATAGAATCACATAGAATTTGCACTGATAGTTACATATTTATTCAGAAATGGAAGTGAACCTATTTTTATTCGAACATGTAGAGCTAAAAATCTGGAAAACGCTTTTTAATTCAAGAATTCTTTAAAAAAAGTAGCATATTTTGAAGCAAAATTAGTACGTAATAATTCATTTTCACTTTGTGAAAAATTTAAATGGGATCACTCAATATGTTATAAAATAAAATTTTTAAGATATGTTTAATGTATAAAATTTTATAAACTTGTACCTAAATATGGATAAAACTCGTTTCGAGAAAAAC